CAAGAGCTAGTTCCAGGATAGGCTCCAAAGCTACAGAGAAACCCTGTCTCGAAAAACCAAAAAAAAAAAAACAAAAAAGGAAATTTAGCGCAACTGTCTTTTTGAGTTCCCTCCCCTGTACGGGGCTGCTTCTCAAGCTTAATAAGTTTGTTTGCTCTTCAAAAGCAACAAAAGCAAAAAACAAAACCCCACAAGAATTTTAAAATGTTAAATGCAAGGTGAGCATGGTGGCACACACCTCTAATCCTATGAATTACAACACAGTCTGGTCTAGGCCATTTCTAGACCTAGTGAATTCTAAGCCAGGTAACACTTTGAGACTGTCTCAAAAATAAAAGCAGCCCAGCACTTGAGAGGCAGGGGCTGGCAGATCTCTGCGAGTTCAAGGCCAACCTGGCCTACACAGTGAGACCCTGTCTCCCAAAAAATAAAAATAAAAATAAATAAAACAAAAAGGGAAATAAAACACAATTTTAAATATAAACAATAAAGGATAACCTATTTTCTGGTTGGAAAACTTATCACGAAAACATATTGTGAAATTGTGAAGTATCTCAAAAAGTGTTTGTAAATGTGTTCCCACTAGTCCCGGCAGTGGTAGCGCAGGCCTTTAATCCCAGCACTCCAGGGACAGAGGCAGGCAGATCTCTGTGAGTTCCAGGTCAGCCTGGTCTACAAAGTGAGTACCAGGATCGGCTCCAATGCTACACAGAGAAACCCTGTCTCGAAAAAAACAAACAAACAAACAAACAAACAAAACAAAACAAAAAAATTTCCTCTGAGATTTCAATGGGAATATTTTTCCCCCCCTGGCTGGCACTCGCTCTGGAGACCAGACTGGCCTCGAACTCACAGAGATCCACCTGCCTCTGCCTTCCCAGTGCTGGGAAAGGTGTGTACCACCACTGCCGAACTGAGATTTTTGTTTTTAAAGGAAGAATGAGGAACTAGAGGCGCAGTTCACTTGGTATGGTAGTGCCAGTCTCTTACCCCAGCACTCAGGAGGTGACAGGCAGAATCAGAAGTTCAAGGTCAGCAGGGTGTGATAGTTTAGGTCTTTAATCCCAGCAGACAGGAGACTATGAGTTCAAGGCTAGCATGATCTACACAGTGAGTTCCAGGACAGACAGGACTACAGAGAGACCCTGCCTCAAAAAAACAAAAACAAAGTACAAACCAGAAGGAAATTGATTCAGTAAATGACAGTGATGGAAACTAAAGATGACAAAACTGTCAAAAGGCAAATTCAGTATACACTAGAGGAATTGTAGAATTACCATAGAACTCTAGAATGAGACACCTCTATATTGAGGTGAGAAGACAGTCACAGGGTTGGAGATGACTCAGTGGCTGAGTGAGAGCTCTCCTAAGAGGGCCCTGGTTCCTGGCACCCATATTGCCAACTGCCTGAAGCTCCAATTGTAGGAGATACAAAGCCTTCTGGCAGTTATACCTATATGTACACACAGACATCCACAAGTTCTGTGAATAAAGAGGTTCCATCCCCAGTGCCCACAGGGTGGCTCAGGCCCATCCATAATTCTAGTTCCAGGGGCTCCAACACCTACATCTGACCTCTATGAGCACCAGGCATTCAGGTGGAGTAGATATACTCCATGTAACTATAGTACCTTCCTTATTTATCTGTTTTTGGGTTTTTCTCTGTGGCTTTGGAGGCTGAACTTCCTTATTTATTTAGAAGTACATTACCCTCCCAATAACATATCATTTGATGTTTTGTGAGAATTTTATGTGGCACTGGAGACTGAACCCATGTGCTCTTCTGAGTATGTGTATATTCCCAGCCCTGAGTAAATTATTGGGTTTTTGTTTTTGTAAGACAGGATTTCTCTGGGTAGCCCTGGGTATCCTGGAACTCACTTTGTACACCTGCCTCTGCCTCCTGAGTGTTGGGATTAAAGGAGTGCACCACCACCACCCAGTAGGAATGTTTTTACAGACAGGATCTACATACCCTGGGCTGTCTTGAAACTCACTGTATCAGGTTGGTTTTGAACTCAGAGATCCATTGCCTCTGCCTCCCTTAGGCTGAGACTAAAGGTGTACACAACCATGTTTAAGACCACCTTTGAAAATAATACTGGTATTATTTTCTTAGTCTGGAGGTGGTGGTGCATGTCTTTAATCCCAGCACTCCAGAGGCAGGCAGATCTCTTTTGAGTTCGAGACCAGCCTGGTCTACAAGAGCTAGCTATTCCCAGCTAGCTCTTTGGACAGCCTCCAAAGCTAGAGAAACCCTGTCTGGGGGACAGTACACACCCAGGTGGTTGGGTTGTCTTTCAATTCGAAATCCTGCCTCCAGAAGTGCTGGAATTATAGGCATATACCAGCATACCCTATGTAAATGGTACCAGGTTCAAAGAAATTCAGGGCAGGGCAGAGTATGATAGAGAAGCAGTCTACCAATTCGGCTACATCCCCATCTCACTACTTGTTTGAAGACAGCTGTCAGCCCCAATTTTGTTAGTTTTGCAGTTATTTCGTTTTTGTTTTTGAGACATGGTTTTTCTGTATTGTGTCAGCCACAATTAACCTATTGGTTGATTTGTTGAAAGATGCCAACCAAAAATACTGCATGGCTTTTTCAATCTGTATTTGAGAACTGAGATGTAGTACTTGATAACCACCACTTCCTGGAGAAGTTCAGAAAACCATTTCCGCCCAAGGAGTAAGGAATTTTGTTATTCAGTTAACTCCTCCCAACAGAACTTAGGAGTGGAGAGTGAAGTCCTCTTACCTGATAAACCAACCAATCTTAGTAGGTTGTTACTTTCTGCCTCTGGAAGGGTAGAGATGGAGACAGTTAACCACCTGATAGCCATGACCTAATCACATCTCTTTGATGGAAGCTCCATCAACTAAAGCTACAGGGTTTCCAGCTTTCTTAGGTGTCCCTCCCAGTGATAGCAATCTCACAGGCAAGCTTGGTTAACCTTGGTTAATCTCTACTTGGTTACTAATTCATACCCTTTTTAAGTTTTGTGTCCCATCCATCCATCCAGTTGAGCTGTTTATTGGCAAATTCTCAGAATAACTTGGCTTTCAACATGAAGCTGAGTTGAACTGTGAAACATGATAATCTTATGACTGATAATTGCTGTGAGGTGTTTGAATTTTTTTTCTTCATGGCAACAGGGGCTTCTCTGTGTATACCTGGCTGTCTTGGGAACTCAGTATGTAGACCAGGCTGGCCCAAAAGATGTGATTCGCCTGCCTCTGCCTCCAGAGTGGTGAGATTAAAACCAGCACCACTACCTGGCTTGCGGGGATTTTGTTTTGGTTTTATGAGACAGGGTTTCTCTGTAGCTTTGGAGCCTATCCTGGCACTCGCTCTGGAGACCAGGCTGGCCTCGAACTCACCGTGATCCCCCTGCCTCTGCCTCCCGAGTGCTGGGATTAAAGCCGTGCGCCACCAATGCCTGGCAGACCATTGTTTTTTAATCTGCCTGTATGTCAGTGCCCCACATGCAGCAAGAGGATGTTAAATCTCCAGGAATTGGGAGTTACAGATGGTTGTGAGACACCTTAGGGTCTTCAGAATCAAACCTGGGTCCACTGGAAGAACAGCCAAGTACATACATCACTGAGCATCTGTTCTCCAGCCACAGAAGGATCTTTTGACATTTAACCCTCACACTTAGTATTCTTATTGCCCTCCTCAGGCTATACCTAAGAGTGCTCAGGAGGCAGAGACAAGATTTTAAGTTTGATTCAGGCCAGCTGGTCTACCAATGGAACTCTAAAGATAGTCAGGGATACACATTTAAAACTAAAAGACCAGCCTCTCCCTGCAACCCACCACACATTCTTCTGAATTAATCTTGCATGTTCAGACTCAGATTTGGGATTAGGAAGGTTTCTTCATCAGAAGTAGATCCATTCAATATCCAGGAAATCAAGACAAATAATAAGTTTATTAACAAATGTACAAAATACACAGTATTCAGCTGTGCCTTACAAAATTCACCCATATACATATGCAATACTATACAATACTTACAAGTATATACAAGACTTCCATCAGTATGCAATTTTCTGGTCCATCTGTGTTCCTATAATTTCAAGAGAAGGCTCAACTGTGAACATGTCACCATCAAGCATCTTTCTTGATGTAATGGAGTTTAATCACAACATTTACTGCCATGATACTCAGGCAGGTAGGCGAATGCTGGAGGACAGGAACTCTCAGTAAAGTGCAGTTTTAGGGAACCCCAGCCCTTGGTTTTTCTTTACACAGGTATCCACAGTCCATAAGGACTTTTTTTCTTATCTATTTTTGGTGACCCTGATGATGTCTCTTCAGCAGCAGCTTTAGCTGTTTTCTGTATCGGCTTTGCTATGGAATTCTGTAAGACAATAAATTCAAGTCAACTTCCCAGAGATTGTCAATACAAGTTAAAAACAACAAACCCTACACTGAATATATCCAATTTTCAAGGGCAATGTTCTGCTATACTTACATTAGAGCTGAAGGCTATGTTTCTTTGTGTGGAAGATTTCTCACTGTGATTTTTAGTTTCATCTTCAGCTTGATTTTCTGAGTGCTAGAGGGGTAGAGAATTTTTAAACATAGCCTTAGTTTTTGAATACTGTATAAAAAGCAGCCCAATTGCACACAATTGTAGATGTAGACACACAAACCAAATTCCATCTATTGCCAGCTAACAAGCTAGACAACAAAGAAACTGTTTCCACTTAACAAGACTGACTCAGAAGTAGACACAGTTCCCCAGGAATACCTGATTCTTTGTTGTGAATATAACTCATTTTTGAGTAAGTGCAATAGAAAACGCTTTGTTAAGATTGGAGGCATTTGCGTTGTGCCTCAATCATCTCCAGGAGCACCTCTTAGGTACTTGCCTAAGCAAACAGTAGGCAGTAGAAACCATCTTAATTGGACAATTAACTTTTTTTTTTGTTTGAGACAGGGTTTCTCTGTGGGTTTAGAGGCTGTCCTGGAACTAGCTCTTGTAAACCAGGGTGGCCTCAAACTAACAGAGATCTGACTGCCACAGCCTCCTGAGCGCTGGGATTAAAGGCGTGGGCCACCACCGCCTGGCTGGACAATTAACTTTTATGTTAAATTTCTATAAAGCATTTTTTTGAGACCAGGTCTCTCATCTATCCCCTGGCTGGCCTAATTATGTAGCCAAGGATGACCTTGAACAATCCTGTCTCCCAAGTGCTAGGATCACAAGTGTGGGGCACTATACCCAGTTTGCACTGCTGGGATCTAACCCCTCGTGTTATGCACCCTAGACCAACTGAGCTACATCCCCAGACTATTATCAACTTAAGATTCCGGTTTCACACCAATTAACTTGTAAGTACAGTTCAATGTGCCAATGCACATCCTTTGTAATTCTGGAGAATTGTAATAAACTTATCTGCAAGTGAAGCAGGCCTCTTCTTCGTAATCTCTCAAAACATCTGGAATATATTGCATATATTATGAACGGGACATCTAGAGCACAGATGCCCCACCATTACACAGTGCATCCAGGCTGAACTGTCAAACTACCTTACACAAATAGCCCTAGCCCAAAACTCTAACATGCACATGGACTACCTTCAACAAAAGCTAAGCTTTAGTCTCTGAACATCAACTCTGGCATTTTAACCCATAATCAATTACCAACAGATTTTCTTCATCATTGTCTGGAGACCACATTCATGATTTCTATAAGACAGAAATAAAGCAGATAAACTATACTGTATACTGAGCACAGACTTTTGGGAACAATGCTGTAAATGAAAGCTACTGATAGAACACTCCAGTCTCTAAAGACTAGACAGAGCAAGAAAAAGACAAAGTACTAACAATAATATAATCAGTGGCTTTATTGTTATGGAAAAACTGACCAAGTATCAGAATGAAAGGAAGTTCATCATCTCCCAGTTTCCTGGTAGACGGTCTAGTACTTGTCAGATTAGTTTTGTTCTGGGCAAATGATTTAAGACATCCCAGGAGGGCTCTCTACAGTAAACTGACAGGGTAAGGAGATTTGCCTGTAGTAGCCCTCTGAAGATACTTACCTCCATCTTTGCGCCACTGCTCAAAACAGCTGCTCTCTGGCTTGTTTCCTTGGCTGCAGTCCGGAGACTCGCTGGCAAGTCAAAGTTGGCTGTTCCTAGAGCTTTTGCTGCATTGGCTTTTGCTATTTCTAGCAGCTCCATTCGATCTAAGGGCATTAAAAAAACATTCATCATCCTCTAAGGTTCCTTAAGCCCCCAAATAACAAACCAAGTATGTTTTCTAAAACAGTAATGCATTCCTTTTAATGAACATTGCTGGAAAACAAAAATCACAATTTTATGCTGAGGGAAAAGTAGCTTCCCAAAATTACCCAAAAAACTAGGTTTTATTTTTTTCTCCTGTTTTGAGAGTGTTTCTGTTTAACAATCCCAACTGTCCTGGAACTCACTTTATAGACCAGGCTGGCCTGCAACTCAGGAGATCCACCTGTCTCTGCCTCACGACTGGCTACAGTTAGCTGTCCTGACAAACAGCACTGTTTGTCTTTTCAAGCATTTCTGTAAACTAGGGTGTTTGGTAACTATACAGTTCTATTACCACTACTACTAATCTTGGCAGTGTTAGGATTCATGTTCAAAATTTATTATTTTGTAATATTACCAAGTCACCTGAAAGTTAGCAAAATCCAATCCTCCCACCTAGTAAATCGTCTTAAAAAATGTTTTTTAAGTGCTTCCCAGCTTAAACTAAGTCATTAACATATTTTAAGATCATACTAAAAATGGCCCGCTAGTAGGAGACTCCTGTCTTTGGGCCAGCGAGGCCATAAATGGACTTGGACTTTCTATACTCTTAAGGTGAAAGGTGCGCGAAATTACATTCTACCTATTCACCAGCTGAAAATTCTTTCCCTCCAAGAAATCTTTGACACCAAAGAAAACGCGGTGGAAAAGCGCCTGGTCCCGGGCTTTATCTTTGTGTGTGTTTTTTTTTTTTTTCGAGACAGGGTTTCTCTGTGTGGCTTTGGAGCCTATCCTGGCACTAGCTCTGGAGACCAGGCTGGCCTGGAACTCAGAGATCCGCCTGCCTCTGCCTCCCGAGTGCTGGGATTAAAGGCGTGCGCCCGGCTGCGGCTTCAATGTTACCAATCCAACTAAACTGGCTCAGCCACCTGACTCCTCCCTGGCCGACGGCTGGAAGGCAGCGTCTCAATTCCCAGAACCCCAAAGGCACAAGCGTCAAAGTGACACCAAGACCCACCTTTCTCACTTAAGCGAAAGGGAGTTCTGCTCCTGCTGCGCGACCTGGTTCTGGACCTTTCCCTCCAGCGGGGGCGATCCTCGGGGTACACCGTGCGGCCGAAACCGTAGTAGCGCCGGCCGCGCGTGATGGCGTAGTACGACCTCCGGTGATGCGACCGCCCGCGGGAGCGCGACCTGCTCCGGGACCGGTAGGGCGACGGCGAAAAGTTATCTCAGGTGTTTTGGGGGCCTTGGGACTGGGACCGGAAGCGACTGCGTGAATACGAGCGAGTAGCGCCTGTACTTGCTCTGGTGGTGCATGCGGGAACAGGACCGGGGTCGGGACTAGGACCAGGATCAGGACCGGGACCGCCTGCTCTACAACGAGCAGCTGGTGCTGCGCGAGTCGGGGGAGAGCTGCGGGAGCACAACAACAGGCGGCTGGAGCGGCTTGAGCCCAACGTGGATGGCGACACTTTCTCCTGCAGAAAGCCTGCCACATGTGGTTTAAGTACTTAGACGTGGCGGCCGAGGACATGACCTCCTTCTTCTCAGAATCGGGCTCCTTCCGCAAGCACAACGGCGTCTTAAGCCGATGAGGTGCTCGCACGGGCGAGAGAAAAGCCTAGCGGACACCTTCCTCTCAAACCAGGGTCCGGAGGCGGCCGGGTTTGCAGTGCCCACCGACCCGGGAGCGCAGGAACCGCCACCTCCGAAGTCCGGACGCGAACTGAAGCCAGGGGCGACGTCAGCACCGAAAATACGAGAAGATAGCGCGGAGCATGCGCACAAACGTCAGCGCGGTGGGGCGGGCTCTCGTCTCGTCCAATCGCCGCTCGACATTCGCGCTCAGCCGGTTGCTTCGGGCTACGCCTTCGAGACACGCATGCGCGTGGGAGCCGTCACTCCACCCCCCCCGCCCCACCCCACTCCGTCCCGCCTTGTACATCCGGGTATTTGGGGAGTTTGTTGTTTTCGGGGATTTTTGTTTGTGGGGTGGAGGATTGGTTGGTTTCGGGGTTTGGTGTTTTGAGACAGGAACTAGCTCTATGTAGCTCAGTCGGGCCTCAAACTCGCCGCGATCCTCCTGTCCCTGCCTCCCCAGCACCCCCGGCCTGTGACACCACGCCCAACTTTGTTTCCCTTTGTTTTGTTTTCTGGTTGCTCCACCCTCCTGGTATGGAATTCGGGGAAAGGTGGAGTCAGCACACAATTTGGCGGGCTCTACAGCTGGTTCAAGGACACGGAAGACCAGGGCGACCCAACCCCCCTCGTCCTTCCTGACCTTCTGCAGGGGAGCCTGGGAGGGCCCCGAAAATGCAGTTGTAATTTAGAAAGGGTTCTTAACTTGCTTATTTGAGCTAGTAAATGTAATTGAAGTCAAGATAGAAATTCCGAGGCAACCACAGTTGACCTTGGAGGAGTAAGAGTGCTTGATAGCCCCGTGGTGGTGGTGTGGATCTCTGTGAGTTCAAGGCCAGTCTGCCTGGTCTACGCATTGAGTTCCAGGACAACCAAGGCTACAAAGAGAAACCCTGTCTTGAAAACAAACAAACAAAAAAGAATGGTTCATAGGTCTATTTTATATATGTGTGTGCAGAAGCCTAAGAGGAATCAGATCTCGTGGAACCGGAGTTACCGATGGTTGTGGGCCAGCAAGCACTCTGTGGGTGGTGGGACCCCCAGCCTGTGGGCTCTGAAACACAGCAAAAGCTTTTATTCCTAATAATGAGCCGTTTCTGCAGCAAATAGGTCTGTCCTAAGATTTAAGTGTGATTAGTGCAGGACATTTAAAATTTATTTCCATGGCAGATTCCAAACATTGTCATAAAACATAACCGTGACCCTGAAAAATGTAGGTAATGGTGTTGTAATTTAAGAAAAGTGTGAGAGAAAGATACCATGGGACAGGATTCAAGCACAGGGTTTGTTTGTTTTTAATTAGGGAAAGGGATCATAAAAAGGGGAAAGAAAGAGCAGGAGAGAGGAAGGGAGGGACAGAGAGGGAGAAAAGACAAGGTTGGGAGGTGGCAGGGCCCTTTGAAAGGGAACATAGTGAATTTGCACAGGTGGTGATCTTAGTGGCTGCAGCTGAGAGCATATCCAGTCAGAACCCCAAGGACAGGTGTAAGGATTCAGGCATTACTCTGGCCGGCCGCTGTCACTGTCATGTGGCAGAATGCACTCAGGCAGCACTCTGGTCCGGGGGACTGCTAGTCTGCAGGCCGGTGCAAAGGACCCCTTTAAAAGAAAGACCCCTGACCCCATATGCTCCTCTCTTTGCTGCTATTTCCCTGGGGCAGACAGGACTTTTCCTGTCTCCCTCTTCTCTTCTGTCCTCTCTCTGTCTCTGTCTCTGTCTCTGTCTCTCTTTACCTCATTTCTCTTTACACCCCCCATTCCCTTTCTAATAAAACTTCTCATTAAGCTCTGTCTGCCTGGCATGTTTGTCCCCCACCAAGGTCACTCTCACCTGTCATGGAATCTGCCAAGGTTCCCCTCACGCTTTGTCATAAAACAACAGGCCAGTACAGATGGCCTGAATACTAACATTCTTCCCTTTTTATTATAAAAAGATGAGGAGTTAGAAAGGGGTGGCAGGTGAGGTGGGGATGAGAACACTGTGTTCTCAAGACTACTTCCTGCTGACCTGGGGGGCAAGGCGGGGCGTCGTTCGTCTTTGGGGGACCTGGGAAAGCTGGGGTGCTAGCCACGTCCTGAAGTAGCCGGCGGTTTCACTTCACTGTCCAGGCTCTGTGTTACAGTCAGGTACCACCTGGACCTGGCAGACGTTATTCTAGGTGGAGCCAAGTGGACTCCCTAGGGCTTAAAGCCCCTGACCTTTCCCGTCTCCACAGCATCACTGGACATGTTTGGTCGTCTTGCGCCTCCAGCTCTGTGACCAACAGGTAGTAGTCCCGCAGCAACAGCTGATTAAGAGTGGTCAGTGGGGCCTGGAGAGATGGCTCAGAGGTTAAGAGCACTGATTGCTCTTCCAGAGGTTCTGAGTTCAATTCCCAGCAACCACATGGTGGCTCACACCATCTACAATGAGATCTGCTGCCCTCTTCTGGTGTGTAGGCATACATGCAGGCAAAATAGTGTATATATGATAAATAAATCTAAAAAAAAAAGAATGGTCAATGGGTCTCGAATGGGAGCAAGGAGGCATAGACGATATCACAGCTCCCATGAGTGAGGCAGAGAAGACCCATGGGTCTGCAGTTCCTAGTGTCCCAGGAATTCAGAGAGGGTCGATTTCAAGACAGGCACAGGCCACCCAGTGAGTCATCACTCAAAGGGTGGGGGCCAAGGGCTCTGAGCGAGAGAGACACAGTTAGCTGGTACCAGGACTTGAGGAAAAGCCAGAAGTAGAGGAAAGGACTGTGCTCAAGAAGGGAAGCCTCACATCCAGGGGGCATGGCCAGAAGTGGATAACCCCACCAGAGACCCAAACAAAGCCATCAGCAAACAAAAAAGCAGATTTGTTGCAGGTGGAAGACAGCAGATGGATTGAAGGTGACACAGGTTGGTAGGGTTCCAGCATGGAGAGATTAAAAGTGCTGGGAAGCGGATTTCTGGTAGGCGCATGCCCCATGAGTGAGGTAGAACGAGACCCAATGACTTTCCAAGTGAGGATAGAACAAGAAAGGCACAAGCCACCTCGGTGATTCCTCAATCTGGGGCTGAGGCCAAAGGACATGAGGGTCCAAGAAAGAAGACAGGCACAGGCCAGCCAGTGGGTCCAAGAAAGGAGACAGACACAGGCCAGCCAGTGGGTCATCACACAAAGGGTGGGGCCTAAGGGCTCAGAGCCCGAGAGAGCTGTGGTTGCCTGATACCAGAGCTTAATGAAGCCGAAAGGCCAGAAACCATTTGGAGAAAGATAAGTCCTCACTGAGTCCTCACTCGTGGGAATAACCTAAGGTGGGGAAGGTGAATTGGCTCACCAATCAGGCTGCTTTTGGATGGAAGCCATCAGGAGAAGTGAGGCTGTCATATGTGAGCCAGACTCTAGGGTCCTGGCATACCTCAAACGGCCTGCCTGCCTGAGGACAGAAGGAAATGTCAGGAGAGCCTTCCTGGTCAGGGAACCAATGTTGTAATTTAAGAAAAGCAGCAAGTGAGGAAAAAATGTCGTGCTATAGGGTTCAAGCAGAGGGGCTTTTTATTAGGGAAAGGGATCATAAAAAGGGAAGAGGGGAGACCCACCTGAGGGCTAGGAGCAGCAGAAGAGAGGACAGGGGGAGGGAGGGAGAATGAGAAGTAGGCAGGGCCCTTCTAAAAGTAACACTAACAAAAGGAACATTATTGGATGAAATAATAACCTCAATATAGAGTTAATGCTCTTGGAAATTAAGCAGGGTTTTACAAAAGCTGTGGATTTTGGAGGGAGATGAAAGAAACAAAGACTCTTGTTCGCATCTCCTTCCCACTTCCCCAAAATACAGGGAAATTGAAAGAAATGAAAACCTTATGGAGCCAGCAAGATAGCTCAGTAGTAAAAGTGCTTGTGGTGAAACACTGTCAACTTGAGTTCCATCCCACCCAAGGTGGAAGGAAAGAACTGACTCCCGGAAGTTGTCCCCTGAACTCCAAAACCCTCACATACATACCATACATTAGTAAAAATTCTCAAACTACAAGAACTAGAGAAATTGCTCAGCAGTAAAGAATAGTGATTCCCAACACCGACATGACAGCTCACATCCATCTGTAATTCCAGTCCCAGGGATGGGCCCTATACTCCTCTAACACACACACACACACACACACACACACACACACACACACGGATACAGGTAAAATGTAACAGGGCCCCAGACCTTAGCACAACTGACTAAAGAAAGGAAGTACCATTCAGGCTGTAAAACTCAGCATGCAGAAAGCACCTCCTGCCAAAATAAAAAGATCTAATCCATCAAAGTTCTGGGGGAGTTTCTAAATTACTAACCTTGGTTTTTGTTTTTTTGTTTTGCTTCTGTAGTTCTGTTTCTGGCTGACTGTTCTTGTTGACTGAAGTATGTCAACCCAGGATATGGTTTTTGTGCTTAAAAGCTCACCCTGAGAAAGAAAGGCTCGGGGATAACCTGGGATCCCAAACATGCAGTGTAGTTGCTGACCAGCTAATAGACTTTCCATTGGCTTAAACCCATGTTAAACCAGTCTTCTCTGGTGAATACCCCATAACACAAAACACCCAAAACCCATAGATTAAAACCCTTACAAAGGCTCTGGAATAGTGATGCATTCCTGTAATCCTAGTACCCAAGTTCTTAGGAAATGTTTCTCAGCATTCTCTGGATGCTCCTTAGATACCTGCCCACCAGGGACTTTTGCTGTCTATTCTCAGGAAGCTGTGTGGGCAGACTCAAACCTATTTCACCATTTACAAATGAGGAAGTATAGCCCGGCGTTGGTGGGGCACACCTTTAATCCCAGCACTCGGGAGGCAGAGGCAGGCGGATCTCTGTGAGTTCGAGGCCAGCCTGGTCTCCAGAGCGAGTGCCAGGACAGGCTCCAAAGCTACACAGAGAA